TTTCTGGCTCATATCAATCGCTTTAGTGATGTTGATGCAGGGCATTCACTTATCCGGTAGTGCGCTTATCACAACCAATATTTGCAATGTGTTAATATTCTGTTATATTTTATCTGCTGTCTGCTATGGGAAACATATTTCTAGGCTGCATTTCCTCCCCTAAAATTTTATCCTGCCTCTCACTTGCCCGCACCACCGCTAAACACTATGACATCACTGAAAATGTACTGTATGTATACATAATAAGGTACATATTTTTATACTGTTTGAATGGAAGAATTACTGTAGTATTTAAAAAGCTTTGGAGAGTATCAGTAAAAGAGACAGATTTATCTAGTGATTATTAACAATGATTTGTACAGGCACAAAATAACATTTTCTAGTTATAGAAAATAAAAATATTGTTACTGCATTATTGGTGAATAAATGGCTTGCATGGTGTTTAGACTTAGTGCTATATGTGTCAATATGTGTATCATCATGTTTTGAGTCTTTAATTGATTTACTGTACATGATGCCTTCAAACTTGATGCCTTCAAACTTGATGTTTATCTACTGTATCTAGTGTATACGTGTAACTATATCAAATTATCTATGACATAGAGAACGTTAGAAATTGGGTTGGGGATGGTTATGGTGCTAGCTGGTAGAATGTGTTTTTTAGCTACTTATAATATTCCTCAGCAACTTTACAGCGAGGACATGTTTGGTGGCAAGTTTTTCCTAGCAGAAAAGAGAAAAATTATGCCACCAATGAGCGATTAAATTTGAAGAGTATATCAAGAGATGACCATTGTTGAAGATGGAAACAAGAAAGTGGACACTAAATAAATTTGTGGGTTTGGCACTCACTGAGTTCAATAAATTTATTATATTTTATAGAATTCACTCAAAATAATAATATGGTTTTATTAATCACACATTATAAACTGGTATGGTCGCTACTGTAAAACACTGTCCTATTTCTCTTGGATTTGACAAGTGGAAAAGCAGTACAGTATTTCCTCAATGCTGATTGGAGCTAGACCATGTAACTTCATCCAATATTAAGCAGTCATATAAAAGTCAAGTGGTCAATCGTTTCTTTTCATTGCCTGGTAGTGATTTTTTATCTTTGGACTCCATTGATATCACCTTAAAAGACTGAAAATACTCAACAATGTTCTGAGTGTCAATCGGATTCAGTGAGTATTCCTGAGCTAATCTTTCGACCGGCCACTCGTTTCTGTTTCTCTGGTGCTTTGCAAGTAACTCCAGTGCCTGCTGTACCGTTAACCGTCCTTTGGGTACGTTTTCAATGTTTTCCCACAGCTCGGTCTGCTCGGGTTTTTGCTGTCGATCAGTTGGCATCAGCCTTGAACCAACCTCCTTTGACTTTTCAAACTACAATAAACCAATAATAAACACATAATTAATTTCTATAGCAGCTTATATTTTATGGGAGCCCTATCTGTGTTTACTAATATAATTTTTTATTTTTTTCTCGGTCCGCAACAAAAGTGCTATGAGGCCGCATGTGGCCTGTGGGTCACACTCTGCTCACCTTTGCAATAAATAGTAACTTAAAATCACTGCCATTGGGGGCTTGTCAATGGGATGACAAGCCTCAAATACTGGAAAATAATAAGTGCAAGCTATTCAACACCCCACAAAATGGTAACAGAAAATTTAAATTACTATGGATTTGCTAAATTTATGGATTTGCTACAGAAAAACCTTTGAGAGGATCTTGTTTTAAAAATTCAATAAATTATTGAAAATAAAAAATTGATATTTATTTAACACATACTGTACCTCTGGGTCATAGCCAGATGAATCAACGTTTATTCCCTGCAGCATGTTCAACAAATTTACATCTTTCTTTTGAAGAGTTTCTATTGGAGGTAACTTGGAATCTACATAAGAAACAAAATAATACTGCTTGTGGTAAAATATGGTAAACACTAGTTTATTCATGTAAACAGATCACACTGGTAATTAGGCCTGTGTGTGTACCACTGAAGTATCATTAAGTCGGTCTCACAAATTACGATTTAGAAGAGGCTTGGCGCAGCGGGAACGATTTGTTTTCCCAACCTCAAGGTCGGGGGTTTCAATCCATCGCTGTGCATTTCACTTGTGTTCTTGAGCAAGGCACTTTATCTGCATTGCTTCTCTACACCCAGGAGTATAAATGGGTACCTTGTTGGGTTGCCTTTTGCCACACAATAACCAGGGAAAAGAACAGGCCTATGATTTACCAATCTCAGCTTAGCAAATGTCTTAAGTCAAAAAAGTTAAGATGTCCCTATGCAAATGTCTTAGCTGATTTATCAAACTATCTTAGCTTAAAAATCGTCTTAGAAGGCACATGCGTACAATCAGCTTTAATTTTAAGCAAATTTTAAGCTAATTAATATTTATATCTTTGACTTAAGCAAAAAAATGGACTTAAGACGAATTTAAGCTGATTTATAGTTTGATAAATCCAGCCCCTGCACTTTATCTCAAGGAAGAGGTGCATATAAATATCTATACCAGTACCAGATTATGCTTACGATAAGCTGCGCTACAAAATACTGTAGAGGGAATTTTTTTTTACAGATGGAGGGTCTACTACCTCAGTACCACCATGGTTTGTGCTGAAGGTAAGAAATTTTGTGATTATGGCAGCTGTAGATGGCAGGAAATAGCACTCTTAGACTCAAAATTTGAGTAGAATTTTCCTTTTTTTTCTTAATTTTGAAAAGTTTGGGGGGAGGGGAGGGGCCTCGGGCCGGCAGGGCCCCCTCTTGAATCCGCCTATGATTACAGTATCTCACACCTTCCCCAACTCCCACACACCGGACTATTTTAGATTGGGCATGTTATAAGATTAAATATGTCATAAGAAAAAAAAAGTTGGAACATGTGAGACTGACTTCAGACAAGCAGGCTAAACTAACCTTTCTGTGTGTCAAGGCTCCCAGGGTGTTTTGGGGCAGCTTTTGGTTTTCGATCCAATACCCGATGCGCTCGGTTCTCAACATTATAATTTTGAACACCTCTTCGCAGTATATTCCCCATGCTTTACTTAAAGCAAGGCTTAGTTCACTCTCGAATTCAAATTCTGCAATGAAAATAAGATAATAAATTAAGGCTTTGGTATTACTGTATATAACAAAACAGTTTGAAAATTGTCAGCTAAGTTTAAACACAATTTTGTAAAATTTTTGACCGCACACTATGATATATGATATTTCTTAGCACACTGACTGGAATGTGGCTTGAAAGCTACACCGATTCAGGGCATGTGATCTTACAAAAACGAGACTCTATGATTGGATTGTTTGCAGGTTTTTGGTAGCTTGTCTTGACCACTATCTCTGTTCATTGTTGGTTTGTTCACCCCAAGTCACATGTTCGCCATACAGTATTGTAAAGTTCATTTTCTGAAATGCACGGACGGATTTCTAGGCCAAATTTTTGCGTGGAGGATACATTCTCCCTGTAGACCTTACTTTTTACAGTAGTGTGGCCCCTGCCCTGACTGTGTGTGAGAGTGTTGTTGGACCCCTTGTCGGCAATTTCTGAAGTCTGGATTGCGGGGACACCCATTTTTTTAATATATCACTCAGGCAAATACTAAACAAAGACCAACGTTAACTTTCGACAAGTTTTTACTGGACTTCTAGGCTGGGGCCTAGGCCTATAGCCTAAGTAATATGCAGGTTAGGCGGCCCTACACAAACTAGCCTAGGCATAAGTCAAAATGTACTAGGCCTAGCCTAGCTTGGCCTAGGTAGGTAGGCTAGGCCTACATTCTTACTAGGCCTAGGCCTACATCAATAATAAGGCCTAGCTTTAGAGTCTGGGTGTCTAATCTGTGTAATTTAACCCCCAAATAGGCTTAGACTGTAAGTAATCCAACTAAAAAAGGTCGAGGCCCAGGCTAATAGCTACAGTGGTGACCTTCGTTATAAACCATTCCTACTCGGACGGTGCCGGCCGTGAGCGAACCCCTTCTCGATGTTTTTATACCGGGCGAGACTACGAGCAGCACCAAAAACATTGAGGGCGCCAGACTGATATATTGCGTTATCAGCTCATAAATTTTCCAACAATCATCATCTTTATTGTCATTTGTTTTCATTAGTCATCATCTTTGTTTGTCATT